GACTAATATGCAACATGACCTTTTCCGGTCAGGTCATGACCTTGGCCTGAGGTCAAATTTTCAAGTTGACGTTTCACGGTCAAATTCATTCGACGCGTCTCGGCGAGAGGAACACGAATCTGGCAATAGAAATGTCGTGGCTTTTTTAGTCAAAAGTTATTGTCGAAAAACACTTTCCGTAAAAACAGCTATTTTTGGAGTTTTTGCCCTCTGGAGGCTAAAACGTTGACCTGAGGTCATTTTTCATAATGACCTTATCAAAAAAACTGACTGAACTGAAAAACTGACCGACTGAACGATCACTTTGAAACTTCCAGCGATTGATATGAGCAGAGGCGGATCCAGCTCAGAGGTTTGGGGGGGGGCAAACCATAAAAATTTATCGATTCTTTCCATGCATCGTCCATAGGCGTAATGTTAAAATCATGCCGTTTGGGGGGGGGGCAAATGCCCATTTTGCCCCCCCCCCCTGGATCCGCCACTGGATATGAGTACCAGTATGTATAAAATGTTTATCTCGGATTTTTTTTTAATATACTCGTATGTGACCTAAGGTCAGGTCAATTTTGCAACCTCTATTAACAAGTCAATGGGACAAAATTGAAATGCGCCTCTTTTGGACGAATGTCGTTCAAATCGCTCTCACACATCGGTTCATACGTAAACATGACACACTGAATCGGAAAAATGCACCTGTGACCCCTCTGTATGCTCCTGAGGTCCTCTCAGGTCATGAGCGGTCACCAGCAGTTTTTTTTTTGCTATAACTTGATAGAGACGTGCTAGAGCGGTGAAACACGTCAAATGTGTTCACCTTGACGATACGGATCGACTGATATGCAACATGACCCCTTCTGGTCAGGTCATGACCTTGACCTGAGGTCAAATTTTCAAAATGACCTTTCAAGGTCAGCAAATAGTTAATTCGACGCGTCTTGACGAGAGGAACACGATGCTGCTGAAAGTGATGTCGTGGCTCTCTTGAGTCAAAAGGTATGGCCGAAAAACATTTTTCGTGAAAACGGCTATTTTTAATTTTTGCCCTCTAGAGGCTAAAACATTGACCTGATGTCAAATCTGAGAACGTTACACAGAAAGGTCTGTAAAAAGGCTATCGAATGCGCTTTTCCGAGGCGCTGTTGCTCCATTGGTTCCAGAGTTAGCCGTTGGCAGTTTCCAAAATTATTGAAATGGACTTAATTTGACCTTTGATGACCTCTGGCACAGACTTCTCTATATATGGACTGTGCGCTGATTCGGGAAATCAGCATTGGAGGCCCAAATTTCTGAAGCCGTAATATGAACCCATATGTTGTAACACAATACCCTTTTATTGTTTCCTGTCGACAGGCTGAATTTTATGTAATATATTTTGTTTTTGTACTATCTATTGCTCGTAGCTCAGAATAAGAAAGGCTTCTGGTCGATATGAATCTGTATTGGAACATCATTTCACGTTCATCGACATCCATTGATGTCCTTATGTCAAGTTCATCTCACATTGCACCAGTGGGCTTGAAAATGGCGTTAGTCCATTTTCACCGCGGGATCCAGCGAGAAAGGGTGGCTATCATCCCTTTCTTCTTCCACCGTGTGCTGGATTGTTCACATCTCTGACATGGCTGGCTACAAACTCGCGCGACAGTGCACCGACCGCGCTGGTGGTAAAGGTTGGCGGTAATGCCGATGGGGGACTTTACGGGAAAATGTGTGTCTGCTGCAACGGTGTCTTCACTGTTCTTCTCTGCTACCCACTTTTTCGCACCACGCATCTACACATAGTCGCACTTTCACACATTCGCACATGCGCATCACCAATTGCAAAGTATCCCTCCGTCTGCTCGTTTTCCACTCGCTGCTGAATGATAAGGCGATAGCTCTTGTGACGGTCGTTCCCATCACGTCATGCTGTAGCTATTGTTGCTTTTATTGTGTCCCTTCGTCCCATGGAGACGTAGCCGAGCAGCTCTGAAGGGACCTGTGGGCGGCCCCCAGGGCCACCACGATGCTGCCGCTCCGCACCTCCTCCATGTTGGGGTTGATGGTCGCCATCAGGCGATGTCGGGTGCCCATCAGAGCCGGGCACCGCAGGAGGACATGCTTGGGCTGTCCGCCTCCTCTCAGCAGACGGGTAGAGTGCGGCTCTGCATTGTCGGTCGTCGCACTGGTTGCACCCCGACAGCCAGGAGGGCGCCAACCCGACTCTGTGGCGCCATTGGGAGGAGCTTGTCCAGTGGCGCAGAGCTGTTGGATGTCCACCGCCGCTGGCCGGTCACCGCCGGCAACGGTAGGCGGGAGTCGATCCCCGTCAGCTGGTGGAACCAGCCGGCTGGCCAGGCCCCGACGGTGCGAGCCCTCGCCACTCTGGCGGCGGCCCAGTGGGCCTTCTGGACGTCTATAAGGATTTGTTTTTAGTCGAGTATGTTTGCCTTCCTGGCGATGGTGTCGGCCCTCTCGTTGCCTTCCAACCTGCATTGTGAGGGCACCCACTGTAGGTAGACCAACAGGCCTCCAGCTGTCAGTCCCCAGAGGGCTCTCCAGATGTCCACCAGCTGTCAGTCCCCAGAGGGCTCTCCAGATGTCCACTCCGAGCGAGGAGTGCTGGGCGGCCCAGCCACCTCGGATGGCGGCGAGGGCGGACTGCGAGTCGGTGCAGGCTACGATGGTGTCTTCGGCGTGCGGCGGGTTCTCCAGCAGCTAGGAGAGAGCAGCTCGGAGGGCGACCATCTCAGCTCGAAAGCTGGAGCACAGGTAACCTGCCGGGGCGCGGATCGAGTGCTCGTCCCCGTTCGGCCAAACGATTAGTGCCCCCGGCGCCTCCGTCATATTCTGTAGCTCGTTAGTTACAGTATGCTCTTCGCCCTTGGCACATTTCTTGGCTTCTCCATCAAAAATGTCCACAGCTGACCTAGAAATGGTGACCTGCCAGTTTCCTGAGATATCCAAAGTAGAAGTTCCTGTAATAACAGGTCGCCACCGGCACAGATGTTTGTCCCAGCTACTTATACTCCAATCAGTCCTATGCATCTTGTTTTTGCTCCACCGCTATTTTTCCGTCCGTTCTTCGCAGACTGGCGTATTCTTGAGCTTCCCGATCCCGATGCAAGTTTTGCGGTAACATTTAAGAGCGGCAACCTTCATCGTTTAACATTGATGTGAAGGGTAAGAATTCCATCATTTCATCGAGCATTCTTCCGAGATGATTTGATCCAGACCATATTGAACTACAACCCCATACGACACACTGGATAAACTTCATTGTTTGATTGAATAAGCTTACTTCTTTTGGATGTAGTGGCGTATCACTGCCATGGGTATGGCATTATTTAGCGCGGCGTAGCTTCGAACTGCGATGGCGAGTTGTTCTTTTCACATTAACTGCTGGTCAAGTTAAGTCTTTGTAGCTCCTTTCAGTGAGTCTTCTTCTTTCTGCAGAATAAAATAAGGCACTAGGCATTATAGGAAGTATGCTGAGACTGGCGCCGTCGATAGCGTCCTGTTTTTCTTCTTGCTGTGTGAGTCTCACAGGAGTCAGTGTTTGCAAAAGTAAACTTGCAAATCTGATTGTCCTCAGCGTTATCTCTTATCTCGATTGATGGTTTCGTCTGTGAACTTGTTTTCCTTTTAGTTATACGGGAGGCTAAAAAGTTGCCTTTTTGCTAGAAATTATGTTTCGTTTCACATTTTTCTTGCCCTGACTCTGGCTTGATACCCGAAATGACATCTTCGCACCACACGTTTTCTGATCCGGTCGTGATGAGGTAGTGATCGATAATATTCTTTCCTTTTTTGACCATTTTTTTCGAGCTATTTCTTACTTATTTTTACTGCTTCTTGTGGCCCTATATAATGTATCGTTATTTCTCAAAACCCTTTTCAAAACCAACGTAAATGACTAGTTCCGACAAATTAGCAACGACAACCAACAATGCAACCAACATTCAAAAGCAAGAAAATGCGCGCAAAGTACGGCTGCATTTGTGAAGTATATACCTCCAGCGTGAACAAATGGCTAACTGAACGAGAAAACATGTTCTCATTTATATACATTTATTTCTTATTTATTTTGAATTCAACAAAAAAATGTAATCCGACAGGTAGATAAAAGTATGGGCTATCCTATATCCAAATTTGTAAATATTCTGACACCCTTTTCATTGTAAAAAGATGGATAAAAGTGCACTTATTTTTGGGCCTCCAATGCTGATTTCCTCGGATCAGCGCACAGTCCATATAGAGAAGTCTGTGCCTCTGGTGATCTGACCTTAAAATGACCAAAGTGTTTTCTTCCTTATTTTTGACGCTCCTTCGATTGCCGCTTACTGCGTGTCGCTACGTGGCTCAGGAGCCGAGTTAGACGGGGGGCGCGAAAATGCCCCCCCCCCCCCCAGCACCCGGCGGAAAATTCAGGCCACCAGCGCGACGCGGGATAATCAAAATATTCGCCCGACTATTGCTGATAATAACACTCATTGCTGATAGTTTGCTTTAAATTGCTATTATTTTCCTGTAAGATTAATCGCCGTCTTTCGAGCCTGAGAGCTATAACGCACGGCGAACAAAGCACATCGATGCTGTTGTCGTAAACCGTTTTCGTGTACTTGTGTTTGTATTTATAAACTATTGCACAACTTATTTTCGGGCAAGGGAAGTGTGTTCAAGCCATAATGCCATAATGCTATGGTGCCATAATGCTAATGAATCCACCAAATTATCAGCTGTTTTCAACTTAATTTGTTTTGCTCGCTCCGAGAGATGCGTCTGTCTGGTGGCAGATAAATGGAATTTTTTAAACTCATCGGAAACATTCATGAATCTATTCAATCGCAGGTAGCTTCTATGCATAATTCAAAACCTACCCAACCAGCAGTGGCACCTTCAGCAAACAATGTTGACATTAGCAGTGGCATCATCGACACTAATACTATTTGTACACAATAACATGAACAGGATGTGGCGCGCTCCACAGCGGTCGCCGATATATTCACAACACTACAATGCCAGCCCATGAGCTCTGTATTTCTATACACACACGCTGACCCGCACTGCACCTGTGTACGCCAGCATACACAGACAGTGAGACGAGCCATGCAGATCCCTCGGCGGATTTGACCAGCAAATCGAACGAGCGAATGAGAATACTTCAGTCCCGACGCCTGCCGAAAGCGTCCCAGGCACTTGGTCCAGCCATTGCACATAACACAGCTCACAAAAGTCCGTTCGCCGCTGAGTGACTTGCGGCCTTATCCGATGCTGATGTGCTTGGTGATGGTGCGTCCGCTTCGGCCCTGCGTTGGCCTGCAGTTGTTGACCAGAGGCCGGGTGCCGTCGGCGTCCTCGAAGATCTCTGTCCTCAGCCGCTCGAGGAAGGTGCTGCTCACATCCACCGGCTTGGCCGCCACCATCCAGGTGACGACCGGGTTGCACGGCGGCGTGGTCAGGCTGCCGTGGTAGCTGTAGAAGTTGCCGACCGCGTGCTGCAGCAGCGTCTTGAAGTAGGTGAGGTCGGCCGACATGGTCAGACGGTTACCGGGCAGGTCGATGGTGTCCAGCTTGTTCTCAAGACCCAGCGTCGGGAACGCGAGGCCGCCTGGCTGCTGCGCGCCGCGCAGCATCACTCCGATCACCAGCAGACCGTCAAAGTGGCGCACCGCCTCCTTGAAGCCGCCGTAGCGGCTGTTGAAGAACACGAAGTGAGCCTCCGCTTCGGTGTACTTGTGTCCGACGCAGTGCTCCGAACCGCTGTGCTGACCTCCAGGACCCCAGTGGAAATGCATCTGCGCGAACGTGTAGACGCCGTTCATGGGCTTGGTGTTTGAAATGAGCTGCAGCAGCGGCTCATTCCTGTCCTTCGGCATCAACTTCAGCTTGATCTCATGTCCGGTATTCATGGCTTCAATTTTTCCGTCCTTCAGCCCCTGAGCAAATCGAAGCTTGGGCGTCCGAGTGAATGCAACCCGGCCGGCAGTGAGCTCCACCGGAGACTGCATCGGGCCACCGCACATGGGGAACGAGGTGGCCCACGTGTTCGGGTCGCTGTAGTCGAACGAGCTGTTGGGCGCCTTGGTCGAATACTTGAGGAAGATCATGACTAGCCACCAGGGCATCATGGTTGGTGCTGTGCCGCTGGCGCGGTAGCCGGTTACCACAGTTGGTCCGCTGGTGACGGGAGTTGGCGGCCTGCCGCACTGGACCCGCGCCGCGCCGCTCGGCCCTTTATGGACCCGTCGGCGACCGGTCGGCTGAGTGGCGCCGACGGCACCAGCGGCCGGTCGAGCGGCCCGCACGCCATGCGCCGACGACCGCGCGCTGTCGTGGTCGCCCCGCTGCGGACCGCGACCGGTCCGGAGGTCGTATTTGGTTCGCGATGACAATCGCGCGGCACGGCTGGCACGCTGCTGGCGGCTGTCACGTGTCCGGCTCCGTGAGAACGCGCCCGGCTAGCCGCGAAACGGTGCCAATGCCAGGCATTTCCATGGCCGCCCAGTATTTGGCGACTTTCTTTGGTAGACCACGTGCACTGCTGTAGGTCCACGAAATCAAAGCGCTGAACATTAATAAATTTCATATTTGTAGGTATATGCAATCATGTATGCCTACATTGCCACATAGCGACAGCGGTAATCGATAAACCACCTACTTATGTCATATTTTTTGTCGGGTAAAAGACTGAGCTGTTAGAGTTAATCCATATTCAATTTTCCGCCATTTCGTTGACGATCTTGAATGTATTTGATTCGCTCATATCTCACGAACTAATTGTGCTAAAAATCTAGGGGAAAACATTGGATGTATCCTGCAACTTAAAGTTACTTCGTTCGTGCCCGCAGATTTTCCCTAAGGGTAACGATTTGGTTTGGCCTTGAGTGGGCAAAACAAGCGCAAACAAAGGCTCATATGTGTATGCTGTAATATTTTAAGTGAAAACGGTACTATACCTATTTAAAGCAGCAGTTCGTCTCACTCGTCAAGAATTGACATTAAATGGCTCAGTTGAGGATTTGATCTAAGGCAATGTCATTTCCTCATTGGAAGGGTTTATGCTGCATTGCATTTATTCTGTACCACTTGTCTATATTATAATTCATATTAAAAGTTATTGCATAGACGCTGGTTATCTAAATCCACGATTTTACATGACCATAGCGCCTTAGCGATACAGAGGACCTCAGAGGGCCAGCTTTACTTATTCAGGCCGAAAAATTATTAACCCTCGCCCCGCTGGGGGGGCCAATTTGGCCCCTCTCCCTGTGGTTTTTCCTGAATTGCGGCGCGCAGCGCCGCTAAATTTTTAGTACCTTTCCGGGCATCAATTTCACACCTTCACACCAAATTTCAAGTCTTAGGTCACCTTAGGTCAGGAGTTATTGAGGTCAAACTGAGGTCATGTTCGAGCAAAAAAGAGCAAAAAGAATGAAATCTTGAAACGCTCACAAAAGCTACAGTTACCAAGCAATTTCAAAGTTCTTTACATGGTTATGTAGACAAAAAACAGCGCTACAAAACTGCTATCTAGGATTTTCAAAATTTAGGGATTTTGAGCCCCAAAAATTAAAAAAATGATTTTTTAAGAAAAACTAAAAAAATACCAAAATGTTTCCGCATTTCGAAAAAAACGGAATATATGTGATATTCCCTGCGCTCTTCTATATACATACAAAATTATAGATCGATACCTCCTTTTTTGGCCAAGTTATAGCGAAAAAACTGTTCAAAATTGATGACGTCATATTTTAAACTCAATTTTTAGCAATTCTAGATCACGTAGCGCAAAACAAAAACCACCATTGAACTCCCCGTGACGAGCTGCATCGAATCGATACCCATTTTATGCAAAAATATCAACTTTGAAATTTGACCTAATTTGACCTGACCTTGACCTGAACTTGACCTGACCTTCACCGGAACGATATAAACTAACCCCGAAGGCTGCCTGACCCACATAATCGTATTTGGCATATCAAATGGACCATAAAACATGCATCACATGATATTTTCATATTGTGACCCTCAGTGACCTGACCTCTGTGACCTGACCTGGTATCAGTGACCTCAAATAGCAAAATATGTGTTTGACGAACATTGCCCCATTAATGATTTTCAATGAAATGCATTTTACTCGATTTTGCAACGCATTTCTTGAAATGCCTGTAAACGGTGAAAATTCGACATTTGACCTGACCTGTGACGTCATCGGTTTGACCTAGGTCAACGAAATTGGGTCACAAGGTAGTTCCCTGATGGGGCTATCCAACACCGTTTGCCGCTTGTCGCTATGTTGCGTGGTTCTCGAGATCTTAGGGGGGGGGGGGGCAAATTGGCCCCCCTGGCAGGGCGCGTTGCTCCGCAGACCCCAGCGGGGCGCGGGTTAAGTAATGCTCAATTTAACCCCGTAGTTCTGCACTAACCAGTGTTCGTGCCGGTCTACATGGCAAGGTGGTGCAGGCCACGTGACCATTACGTGCAGCTTTAGCGCCGCTGTGAGCCGCCAAAACGATACCGCCAAAACTTAGTTGCGCTAACTCGACAGTGTGGAATCGTTAACATGCCATCACCACTGCACGTTCTACTGGCAGAATGGTTGGTTCAAACAACAGACCCCCATTAACCGGTGCCTTGGCGGGGGGGGGGGGGGGGGAGGGGAGGTCGATTCGAATTCACTTTTCAGTTCTCCCAAATATCTCGAAAGGTCGCGGCGGTACATCACCGATATAGGCGATACCTACATATTTTACGAACTTTTCGCCAAAAAATTACTTCTGGTTATCAATCGTCAAGCCACCCAGAGACGCAAATTGACATTAAAAATGTCAATTTGCTTAAGGTACCTACTTAACCCTATTAGTGGCAGGCTCCTGGCTACCCCTATTAGTGGCAGGGGGGGCTGTTTACGACCCCCCCTTGATATCTCGAGATCTAACGGGCCGATTTTCAAAATTCAAACGGCATTCGATTTCGCTCAACGTGATCTACATTTCTAAAAAATAAAAATTAAAAAATGTCAATAGGGGGGGTAGAGGGGGGTAAAAACGGGCAAATTGCAGATACATTTTAGACTGTTTATCACGGCCAGGTTTCTGAACCAATCTTAACGCAACTTTTGCCGATCGATAGAGAATGAACCAGGAATTCACATGGATCCTAAAAATATGCATTTTCAAAAATCATAGGCGGATACAGATCATTGAGATTGGGGGTACACAAAAAGTATAGTAAATAAGGTTTTTGTTGGTACTGTTTCTAAAAAGGGTGGTAATGGTCTTGTTATGTTACAATTTTCTTATGAGAGAACGACTACAATTGTATTGGTCATGCATAGGCGGTGTCAGGGCACCTATGTTGGGAGGTAAAACATAACCCCCCTTTTTGGACGCCTGGATCCGCCTATTATAGCAAAAACGTGTCAAAAGAGGATGCACAATAACTGTATATGTTATCACATGATACCTTTCATTCACTGTTCGTAAAACTGGTGCAGCATCGTGATCTTCGCCCAAATGACTCGCTTCACGAATAGGACCCCCCAATTCCCAGTGCTCTGGAGCCGCCCCTGGTAAAGTTATGAACTTGAAATTTTCAGGGAATATGCCCAATTTAGTTTTAGGAAAAGTCAGAAAATTTCAGCATCGTAGCTTCAGCGGTTTCGGAGATATTCCCGAAAAACCTGAGGGGTGGATGAAAACAACCCCCCCCCCCTGCCACTAATAGGGTTAAGTAATCATTGTTAACATACGGTGTGAAAAATTACTTTGACATTAAAATATTTATACCGATCATAGATTCCAAATACCACATGTATCTAAAAAACGACGGTGGAAAAAAAGGACGAAGGACTAAAATTCAGACCCGGGTCACAGATCATGCACACCAGGCCATGCCAAGGGACTTAAACTAAAAAAGACTAATGCTCGTCAGAGCTACACTGACAAGCCAACTGCTTTGAACGTTTCGGTGATCAATAATTACATTATGTTCAAAACGTATAACTCGGATTTTCGATATCGGTTACCTATAGGTAACCGGTATCGAAAATCCGAGGTATACGTTTAATAGTCTTGAATATGTTTCAACGCTAACTTGAGAGACATTGTAACAAATAGTAAGAAAATTAACCTCACTCTCATTCTATCTAAAAGTAAATTCCGAATTCGAAATAAAACAAACTTTTTGAGAAGCTTTCGGCATTGCGCCATCATCAGCTCTGGAGTTTTATTCGCAAACATTTGAGAAAATATGCATTCGGGCTGATAGTTTTGTCTGCAGTTATTTCATCCAGTACTTCCTTCATATTATATAACAGTTGGCGGCGCAAGAACATTTCGTTACACACATGCATGTAGATCGACATCGTATCAAATAAACATCGTATAAGTTAACATCAAATAAACCTCGTATCGTATCGTGCATCATTCTTTTGAACAGATTCTTTTGAACACATAGGAGGCCCAGATATTGTGAAGTAAAACACCTTAAATACATTCATCACACAACTCCAGAGCTGATGATGGCGCAATGCCGAAAGCTTCTCAAAAAGTTTGTTTTATTTCGAATCCGGAATTTACTTTTAGATAGAATGAGAGTGAGGTTAATTTTCTTACTATTTGTATACGTTTAATGTCGGGTAAATTTTGTGACCCTTTTAAGTTTTAAGCCAAAGGAAGAAAATTGAATTGCGATTTTTTTACAAAAGCCATTTTGAATACGGTAAAACATCATGAAGCATGTTAACATTGCATATTGAACCAGTCAGCCAGGTCAACCGTAATAGATAAACCTTAACCAAGTAAATATATTAACCCGCGCATGACTGCGGGGGAGGACATAACCTTTCCCCTCTCCCGTTTCTCTGCAATATCTTCTAAACCGCTTGACGTATCAACATGAAACTTATAGGTTTCTCAGTGGCATCAATTTGACACTTTGTGTTCAAATAACAACTTTCTAGCTACCATAGGTCGGCCAGAAACGACGTCAGAGTGACGTCGTGTCGGTCGATTTTAATACAAAATGTCTACGATAATCGCTTTCAAAGCTCAGTGTTTAGGCTTAGGTCCGGTTTCTTTGCGTGAGTGAACTGAGAATACACGTGGCTATCAGACCGCCATCTCGTATTTTCAAAATTTTGATTTTTTTTGGAAAATATGTATACATTTTAAGCCGTGTGGGCATGTTGCTGGACCGTCCGTCGCCTGGTAGCGAGCCGTCTGTCTCCCCGCCTCAGCCGCCACCAATAACCACCGGTGTGGGGCGGGCGTGCATTGCAGTACGCGTCATCGGCCCAGTAGTTTCTGAGATAGGAGGGGGGCTCTGCACATAGAGCCCCCCCCCCCCCCCCCAGTCACTCGCGTTACGAAAAATACCACATGGTCATGCGCGAGTTAACGTAACCTTTTATGTAGATTATTAGACACATCTGGGTAAAAGAAATACAATCCTGATAAGAGCTATGTCATGCTAACTCTGCATTACCTTGTCAATACCTCGCAAAATAAGTACAGTGACCCAGCCGTAAGTGACCTGGGGTCAAAACCTTATATAACATGAGATGCAAAGTTCACGCATTGCAGCGTAGGCATAACATCATTAAATATTACTGAAAGATGATTTAGATGAAAGAATAACATAAAGAAAATGTTTGTGAACAATTTGGACAGATGAACGTGCATAACGAAGCGCCGGTATGGTGCATGGACTGCAAATTTTACCGCACTGATTTCTAGCTGTAGTGTACCTTACTGTTATTTCGTGGGGTCTAATTGGTAAATAATGGCTGCCGCTGTTTCCATTTATGGACAGTTTTTCATCTTCTTTGTTCATTAGTTAAATGATAGAATGTAGTTTGTCACCTTCGTAGCTGTTAATTTATTTTCTTGATTCCTATTTCTACACGCGAACGTTCAAAAGCACAGGTCCAAAATAGGTCAGTATTAAACTTTATAGCTATAAAAGGAGAGCAGATTTCTTCAAGCTTTGTTCGGCAGCTCTTGACAACCTTACAGAAACGTAGCGAATCTTGTTTTTGTTCGCCCAACATTGCGGAAAAGTAGATCGATGTCCGGAATGCCCCAGCCACATCAAAGGTAAAATGATGTGATATCCGTATAAGGTTAGCACGAACATGTATTTACATGTTTTCACACTACAAAAACTCGGCACGAGGCGGTACTAAACACGTGAGAGATGTGAAAAAGTGGACATGAAAAGCAGTGAAACTACCTGTTTATTGGAATGATGTTAAATAGGCCTATAGGTAAATTCTTACCGTGCTTATGTAACATCATCGCAGCGCTTGCGTGTCAAAGGTCACAGCACCATAATTTGGTGGCGCGTGAGGAATGCTAATCCGCGAATATAACCACAAGTCAGCCTTTACTCTTGCGCGGCATAGCCAGGTGATGGGCGGGATAGCCGGCGCAGAGCGACCGTTGACCCTGGTGACTTAGCGGTTTCCTGAGCACTGCGCGCTCGGCGCCGCGGCGCGATGCGGCTCGATAAATGGGTGCGCCGTCCGTGGCTCTGTTCCAGTGCGGCAGGCCGCCACCCGCCGGCCGGACGCGCGGCCCGAGCAACCGGACCGGACCGGCGTGCCAGCAGCGCGCAGACAGCACGCACGGTCCGCCGACACGCATCCAGCCATGTTGGCGATGCCCTGGTGGCTGATCATGATCTTCCTCAAGTACACCAACAAGGCTCCGACCGGCTCGTTTGACTACGGTGACACTGACAGGTGGGCCAGCTCCTACCCACTCTGTGGTGGGCCGATGCAGTCCCCTGTGGAACTCACTGCTACCAGGACTACCATCAGTCGGACGCCCAAGCTGCGATTTGCCCGGGGACTGAAAGACGGGGAGGTTGAGGTCACCAATACTGGCCGAGAGATCAAGTTGAAGCTGCTCCCAAAGAACCAAACCGAGCCGCTTCTGGAGCTAGTCTCTTACAGCTCACCCATGAACGGTGCCTACACGTTTGCGCAGATGCACTTCCACTGGGGCCCTGGAGCTCAGCACCATGGTTCAGAGCACTGTGTAAACGACCAGTACACCGACGCCGAGGCTCACTTTGTGTTCTTCAACAGCCGCTACGGCGGCTTCAAGGAGGCGGTGCGCCACTTTGACGGTCTGCTGGTGATCGGAGTGATGCTGCGCGGCGCGCAGCAGCCCGGCGGCCTCGCGTTCCCGACGCTGGGTCTCGAGAACAAGCTGCACGCCATCGACCTGCCCGGCAATCGACTGACGCGGCGATCCGACCTCACCTACTTCAAGACGCTGCTGCAGCACGCGGTCGGCAACTTCTACAGCTACCACGGCAGCCTGACCACGCCGCCGTGCAACCCGGTCGTCACCTGGATGGTGGCGGCCAAGCCGGTGGATGTGAGCAGCACCTTCCTCGAGCGGCTGAGGACAGAGATCTTCGAGGACGCCGACGGCACCCGGCCTCTGGTCAACAACTGCAGGCCAACGCAGGGCCGAAGCGGACGCACCATCACCAAGCACATCAGCATCGGATAAGGCCGCCAAAGCCACTCCGCGACGATGGGACTTTTGTAATCTGTGTCATGTGCAATGGCTGGACCATGGTTTGTTGGAGACGTAGAATACTGTGATTTATAGGACCTTGCATTGAACAATTTCATTCCCTGATTTGCTGGTCAAATAGGTGACTGATTTTGCATTGTTTTATTTTTTACCATCGTGCATTTTGTACTTGCTAGATAGTCAGAAGCTTTATGTAGTTACCCAGCCATATCAGGATATTATTTCAAGTGTTACCATAATGTGTCGTGAGCCGTATTTGGTGAGTAGTCACACTGAAGGTCGATGCTGACGCAGAGCCATAACTGCTCACCTCTGTAATGATCAAACACCGGCTCCACATGTCGTCCCTGCATCAATCATGAAGTGTTGTATGTGTCTGCTGGGAAAGTGCTCAGTAAATGCAGTACCTGCACTGTAAAAACGATGCCTTGCATGGACAGCTTTTTGAAGAGCGAAAACGATCCAGGAAAACGAGGGCATCGCAGCGTCCTTGATTGGGTGAAAGTTTCGGTGCACCAAGGACAGAGCGGGCCCCACGATTACACCGCATTACGGCAACCAAACACCGACCAATATTGAAACGTACGACAAACACTCAAATACAATCCGCCTGCACAATACAACATCCACACAGGGCATTACGCAGTCACATCACAGGCGAGCCGTTGCGCGCCTCCGATATGTTGTGTTAGGACCGGGTCCCACGGCTCGTCTAGCCGGTGAGACGTCGCCTGACCTTGGGTCGGCCAGGTGCGCACTGCAGACCGCTGACCCTACACAATGTGGCCGCAGTCAGCTGAGCCGCGTGATGGCACGACCGATGGCTGCAGCTATCCGTCACAGGTGCAACTTCGAGCTGCTGTAATAACCGCTGACGTGCAATGATTGCAAGGAGCGAGCACCGTGTGGTTGCGGGGTGTGTTACGTTGCCTGCTTCCTCGTAATTCTCCTGTTGAATGCCGGATAAACAGCTACGCAGTTTTTTTTTTAGGCTGAGGCTGACTGAGGTATTTGTCATGACACACCCAATTCCTCGTAATTGACGACCAAAATAACGTTTCCTTTTCGCAATATCTGGTGAGATGAGGATTATCAAATGACGGATGTGACATAGGTATAATAGTGCATGTATGGCTTAAACTTTTGAATTCATTTTAAAAGTGGATAAAAACGCAAGAGATTACCTAACGTTTCGCATTTATTGCTTAGTCATGGGTCTTAGAGATCATGGGTTTTAGAGTCATGGCCCATTGGTCTTAGTCATGGGTCACTCACTCTAAGACCCATGACTAAGCAATAAATGCGAAACGTTGGGTAATTTCTTGCGTTTTTATCCCCTTTTAAAATAAATTCAAAAGTTTAGGCCATACATGCACTATTATATGTCACTTCTGGTGAGATATTCTTGTCACCGGCTGTAAAAGGAACCTACGCAAATTGAAGATATGTTCCCGAAATTTGGGAACCTAGTAACTACATACCTACATATGTGGTAAGCTCAAAATTATGTGAATAACTGCAAGCATGTCATAATGCTACAATGAAAAATAACAGGCGATGTCCAGCACATGGCGTCGATTCACTTCATTCCTGGCATTTGGGCAGTGCCACACATTTCGGCGAAGGACAAAGGCTAGATAAAAATGACGAACAAGGCTGAAACATGTCTCAGCAGCGTACGATAGTCATATTCAGAAGTTTTGCTTGTAGATGTGCGCATAGCACTCATTGTGGAAGCTTTGCTACATGCGTCTTATGTAACCACCAAAATCTGTGAGATTAGGCACAGAAGCTAGAGAGGTATTTATAAACTAACTTCAAGATCGCTATTTACCCTCGCATGTGAATGGGGGGGCGGATGGACCCCCCCATGGGTTTTCGCGAATAACTCACGTAAAAAACGGCCGATCGCGACGAAACTTTCAGTACCCTCACATTGATCAATTTTACACCTACCCTGAAAATTTCATGACCCTGACCCAAATGACCTTTGACCTGTGACCTCTTTTCCGAGACCATGTTCCGAGGCCGGAATCACGATTCTGCGTATGTCGGCTCGCATTAGCCGCGCGTTTGCAAGCTTTTCGTGGATTCAAACGTTCAAACATGTGATTTGATGTTGCTTCCATGCATTAGGGTGGGCGTCAAGGTCACCTGAAGGTCAGGTCAGGTCATTGACCTTTGGTGACCTCGGGTGACCTCGGTTCAATTTTTCGAGCTGTACATGTTTCTAGGCTAGTTTTTGGAGCTGAATTCGAATTTAGCAACCATTTGAACATTTACGAAGTAGTTTTGGTGCCTTCGTAACATGTTACGAAGCTGTCAGAGGCGGTTGACACGTACTAAGAATACCCGTCACGATGCCTTCTGGTTGACCTGACCTGACCTGACCCGACCTGGTCTAAATGCTTAAAGACATCATCTGTGATCAAAACTAACACGATATTCGTGATCAGCACCCCGAAAAACCTCTTAGAAGCCACACTTTACGACTTTCTAACAGGTCCCGATTTTCCCGACTTTGGGTCATTGACCTGACCTGGAAGGTCACCCAATGACCTAGGACCTTAAAATTGGGTATCATCAGCTTCCTCTCGTCACGGGCAACACGCTCGTTTTTTCCGCGAAGCTCTAGCTCGATCAGGGGCCAAACGGCAAGGGGGGGGTCCAACCGACCCCCCCCCCCCCTACACATTAGAAGCTGGGGCATTCCACGATAGATCGTACCACTTTTTTCCAATTTGACACCCTCATCTCTCGGAATTTGACGAGAATTGGTCTCAGGGGTAATCAGGGGCTCTGAATCCACCTGTAACAATTTCAGGCTTATCAGATAAGTATTTTTTGAGTTATGGTGTATAACATTTTTTGGATCCTGCTTTGCAGCGCTAAGTTTGGCGGGCTGTAACTCTAAGACGGATTATTTAAATGCCAAATGTTATATAACATTGAACTTGCAATGAAACAGAGATTAATATGTATTTTTGAAATTTCGAAGAATGTGCTATTTTTGATACATGACATATCGAGTTTTCTTTCATTTGTATTTTTTGGACTTTGGGACCAAATTTTTTTGAATTTTTATTTCTTTAACCCTCGCCCTGGCAGGGCATTTTTCATAACACGGCCTGGCAGGGGGGGGGGGTCGATGCGACCCCCCCCCCCTCGCGATTGGCTCCTATGGCACCTAGAAACACCAAATTTGGTAGGTAGGTGAACCCCCTGGAGTTCTCGCCCCTGTGCAAATTTGGTTGCTCTAGGTCAATATTTAGGGGGGTTTTGGGGGGTATAAATGTAAAAATTTCGCTAAAAACAGGTCAAAAGTTTTTCGCTTATAACTTTTGATCTAATTAAGATAGAGCAAAAACAAAAGCACCAGTGAACTCAGCACGTCAAGGCGCGTCGAATGATATACTTTTTAGCTTGTTGAAGTGTACTTAAAGTTTTTCTTAAATTTTAAGTAAACTTAAATTAATAAATTAAGTTAAAGTTAACCAAATTGCATCATATCGCATATCATTCGATTCGGCTGATCACCAGGAACACAATGATACCATTTTTTAAGCTCTAGCGTCATTATGTGCCAAGTTATTGGCAAAAATGTCATTTGACCTCAGTTGACCTCATTTGACCTGACCCATGGATAAGTACACCAAACAAAGAAGCACCAAGTGACCTGCTGTTAAGTACTGTGGCTTCAAAGCACAAAAGTGATAGAACGAAGCGGATATCTCCAGTATTTTCCGAATTTAGTATTTTCCCATAGGCTTAACATTACGACGTAATGACCTCTAACTGACCTCAGGTCAGTGACCTCAAAAAACCCGAACTATATGTTATACAACTCGGTGAACTTAGCACATCCTGAAAGTTTGAAGGAAATCAGTGCAAAACTGTGAGTTGTACAGGTGCAAAAAGAAAATTGAAATTTGACCATGACCTTGTACCGGTTTTTCTGACATGGTGACCTGACCCAAGGTCACCCGGACCTGAAATTTTCAGGTCATATGTAAAAAGGTTGCCCCATAGGCTGTGCCAAATTTGGCGGCGCTGCGCGCCGCCGTTTTTACGCTATCTTCGAAAAACCTTAGGGGGGGGTCGCATCGACCCCCCCCCCTGCCAGGGCGAGGTTTAAAAAATATTTGGCTCATTGTTAAGAAGTATGCAAAAAATTAGGAAGGTGTTCTTTCTATGTATGTATTTATTTTACGTCACGATAGCGGTTTCGAATAGTGATTTCGGGAGGGGAGCTTATAAATGGGGTGGTAAAGCTGCCTAGTGACATCACGGCTTACTGAAATTTCAATTGAAGTCTGAGTCATCTGAAAAAAGTGAAAAGAGGGTTCATCCAACCCTCTTTCCTATAAGCGCGAGGGTGAAAAAGGCTGTTTGGTTCTGACATTGTTTTGGACGCCAATGACCATAGCTGTCCGAGATGAAAGTTACAGGACGCATACATGGTGTCCTCCAGAGGTCTCATAACTTGTATATCTGGGAATTTTTTAAGGTTACATGAGGTCAGGTCGGTCACGTGACATCACTGTTATAAGTCAATGGGGAAATATAAAAACTGTTATTTTGGCGCCGAGAATGATCTAAAACTATCTCACGTACATGGTATCGTGATTTCATGCACTCCTTATGCTTCACTTTTGCATTGTTAACCTTGCGTGACGTCATTTATGACGTCACTAGGGTCGTACGAGTTTTTCGTCAATAACTCCCGATCAAATGGAGCTAGAGAGTCGGGAAAGCCACCAATGGACTCGGGAAGACCTTCCGAATCGAATGCTATGCCATATAATACCCTTTGCCCAGTTTCGTGACCTGAGGGGCTCTGACCTGACCTTGACCCGAGGTCAACTACTTAAGTTGACCTCACCCTAGCAAAAAGTATACCATTCGATGCACCTGAGCTAGGCGAACACAGTGATGCCAAAATCGCGGCTCTGCGGCCATTTTTTGCGAAGTTATTTACTAAAAACCGAACCCGTAACTTCAGTCACTTGACCTGACCTCAAACGCTACCGGTTAGCCTGAGACCTTAAAATCGGGTACCAATCGCTGCGACTTGTAACGGCACACACGCTCGTTTTT